CATAGTTGCAGCAGATTAAATTTAAAAAAAAGAGTTATATACTTTAATTCAATGACCTGTCCAATGCCACCTGTTTATTTCTTTCTACAAACATTTTCTCTTTACTTCTAGTATCCTCTGCCTAAAAGAAGTAATTTTTTTCTTATACTACGTCAAAATGGAAGTCTTGAACAAGTGGTTGGGTTTGGGGTGGGGGTAAGCTCCAGTAACCATGAATGAGATTTGATACTTTGGCTCTAACAAAAATGGAAGTCATCCTTTAGGATTCACCTTTTTTTTTTTTAAAACCTCTTTACAATTATTATGAATTCAATACATGCTTGTTATAAATAGCTTAGGGGTGGCTCCACTTTTTTTTTTAAGATTTTATTTATTCATGAAAGAGAGAGAGAGAGAGAGAGAGAGAGAGAGAGAGAGAGACAAAGACACAGGCAGAGGGAGAAACAGGCTCCATGCAGAATCTGATGTGGGACTCGAGCCTGGGTCTTCAGGATCACAACCTGGGTTAAAGGCGGCACTAAAGTGCTGGGGGTGGCTCCACTTTTTGTAGTGAAAGTAGCCAATCCTCAAATCTTGGTGAGTACCCTTTCCATGTAATCCTGACCAATAAGATCTAGAATTGCAATGTAAAGTTACGATTTTTCTTCATTGTTCTTAATTTGGGGAGGTAGAGGAGAGTCACAGATTCCTTTTGAAAATCTTATGAGAAGCTATGAGTTCTCTCCCCAGAAAAATGAACATTAAGCACACAAATGTAAAATGTTGCATAAGAGCCATGGCACTGAAATTCGCATTTCAGGAATCTGGAGACCTTTGGAAAATGCTGACTTGGCAAATTCAACCAGCTAATGCTAGTCTCTAAGTAGGCTTCTTTCCCCACCTTGAGCTTGCTTCATTCATTATGAGGCCTGCTCTAGAGACTCCAGAATAATTTTAAGTTACTTTTATGAGGGACTTTCATCTATATGAACCAGAACTACCCCTCTATACTTTTTTGGAAGGGTCTGGATTTCAACGACATTCATGAGGTTCCACTCAATCACAGCCTCCCTCTGGCAATTCTCTTTGTTCCTCTCTCAAAATACTGTCAGATTTGTGAAACAAAACTATGCTTTTGTGAAGCTGGGCTGCCTATTTTTATCCACCCCCCTATTACCCCATCTTCTGAAATGTGTTGTTTCTTCTCTGATTAGTGTTCCAGTCATGCAGGAGAGACCTAAGGCTCATGGATAAAGACCAATCAAGGCTTTGAAAAAAACCCTCCACTCCTCCAACAATGGACATGGTTATACTTTACAAGGAACATGAGCAGAATAAAATTTGTTTAGGGAATTAGTTATGTGACAGCCATATGCTCAAACTAAGAAATGATACAAATTAATCCTTGGGTAAGCGAAGATCAACCACCATCTACAATATCCTTCCCCCTCCCACCCCCCACCTTCTTAATTAAACACTGGAGGTGGTTAGCTTAATTAGGGAGAAAGATATCCAGGAGTGCCACAGCCTGTGGTGTATAGTTTCTATAAGGTACAAACACAGAGCCAGGAGGTCAATGGGACTAGAATTCAGCCCTAAACTGAGAGCACCTGCTGAATCTGCCCAGAGGGACGTCTTTCTAATTCTCACAAGGCATCAGAGCTTTCCAGTTGGCCCAGAAGACATCTACTACTCTCTATGCTAATCTGTTTGGACCGAAGTAATTAAACTGTCCTTACAGTCTAATCTGATTTAAAGCCATTCTTAAACTTTAGTCAGCATCAGAATCATCTGCAGGGCTTGTTAAAACATGGATTGTTGGGCTAGACCCCCCAGAGTATCTGATTCTGTAGGTTTGGAGTGGAGCCTGAGAATCTGAATTTCTAACAAGTCCCCAAGGTGGGAGCTGATGTTGCTGGCCTGGGGACCTCACTTTGCACAAGCGCTGTAAGCTATAGGCAAAGGTTTTTGTTGTTTTTTTTTTTTTTTAAACTTTGGACCTTTTCTATGTTTTCTAATGAGAGCCTCACTGAGCCCATAGAGACTAAAGAAAAATAAGCAACTTCAGGTAGCCAAAATTGAAGGCGGACAGTGACAAACCTTTTTCCCCTGCAAGGCCCACAGTCCCAAGCATTACCTTGAGCAAGGGGCTCAGAAGGCAGTCTGTGGGCAGGGCTATTTCCATTCATTTGATTGACTGAGTGTCTGCCTCTGTGTAAGGAAGGAGCTACTGTTTTCCTGGCAAGCAGCTCAGTTAGGGGCAAGGATGCCAGTAATTTACATGAAATTGATGGCATGGTTCTTAGACACCTCTCCTCCTTGGCCCCCCTTACTCTGTGAAAAGGCTGCTTATTTTGGTGGGAGCTAAGATTGTGTACTCAGGGGATGGAGACCTTCTCTGGGGAGTACTTGGCTCCCCCATGATCTATATCCAGTAAACCACACACTATTTTTTTGCACTCACATACAGAAAGGCTTTTTGTCAATAGACTCCTTGAGTTAATGTGTCCACCTAACTCATCCTGAGTAAATAGGTAGGTGTTCTCCTCTGAGAGCTCTCCAGGACTGGAGGCCTCTATTTTCCTCTGATGCATTCATTAGTCTCGCTTTGGGCCTCTCTCATGGTCTGACGAATTTTTTTTGGACTAAAAGTCTCTAAGGTTTCTTCCTTGCCCTGGCATGAAAGAAAAGAGCCGGCCTCCATTTTTTGTACCCCAGCCATTCACTTATTAGATGCCCACCCACATCTTTTTTTTTTCCTATATCCTGCCTATGCTCAAACCTTTTCTGATCAACAGGCTTAAGGTATTTGGTCCTCTTAATCAGGAACCCAGCTACTGTTTCTGATGCTGCCTTTTCTGGCGAGTCCTCTCTGGCATTAGAGAGAAATCTGTCAAAGTGGCCTGTCTCTTGGTCTTCAAAGTGGTAGAATCTTGGCCCTTTAGGTCCCCCATTTATTTGCCAATTATTCTTTGAATATCCTTTTGATATTCCCTTAGTGTTGGTGGCAAGGACACCGTGAGCTTTGAGGAGCTCAAGTTGGGAGAAACCAGTTCTTAAGGCTTTTTTGCATCTTTGCTCCCTCTCTAAGAATCTGAGGAAAGATCCCCTGGAAAACAAACAAACAAACAAACAAAGAAAAATTTGTTTCATAATCAGGGGAAGTCATCACAGCGGTCTCTCCCTCTACCAGCCTCAGAAAGCCAATCAGAAATAGGTCTTGGTGAGATGTCATGAAAATATGGCAAGCTAGTGTACCTGCTGCATGTGAACAGCATCCTGGGAGTGTGTGGTAAGAAAGAGCAAATGACAATCTTTCAAAAGAAAGCTCTTCCAGAGGTCTGCCTTCGGACAAACCCAGGAGGATGCACTTGCTCTTCAGAAGACACAGATTAAAATTAAATTTTAATTTAATTTTGGGAAATATTAAAAACAAAAAACCCCAAACTTCCAGAACCATGTCTTTTACATGTGGCTCAGAAATAGCTAACAGCATCATTGTCTTTTTTTTTTTTTTTTAATTTTTTATTTATTTATGATAGTCACAAACAGAGAGAGAGAAAGATCCAGAGACATAGGCAGAGGGAGAAGCAGGCTCCATGCACCGGGAGCCCGATGTGGGATTCGATCCCGGGTCTCCAGGATCGTGCCCTGGGCCAAAGGCAGGCGCCAAACCACTGCGCCACCCAGGGATCCAGCATCATTGTCTTTACCCATTCAGTCCAATGTAGCTTTTCACTTTAAATTTGATAACCTTCAGCTAAGAAGAGGGAGGGATTGGTGGAACAATGACAGAAAAGCACCAAAATGTAATCTAGGTTACTCTCAGAACAAATTCAATGTGACTTAGGAAGAGGCCAAGGAGGAGGGCATTTTATTAGACAATCAGATCTAACCCAAGTCACCAACTGGGTGTGTTCGTTTCTATTTATAGTCAAGGACACTAGCCTCTGATGACTGATTCTGGGCATAAGGAAGATTCATGTGGACCAAATGACAGTACTGAGGATCTGGAAAGGGTGGTCCATCCATCATGGGATGAAACAAACCTGGTTTTCATTTATTGGACATGTGCAGAATTTGTTTAGCTCCTCCCAAATCATGAAAAAAGGAAAAGAGAGAAAGAGAAAGAGAGAGAGCGAGAGAAAGAAAGAAAGAAAGAAAGAAAAGAAAAAAAGAAAAGAAAAGAAAAGTCACAGTAGTCTCAGGATGAAGGGGTACCTGTGTCTCTGCCTTTGAATTCTTGCAGAATCCTTATGTTTTTTGGTGAGGGAGTGTTTCAAGTGTTCTTTGAATCAAAGGACTGCTTTTACTTGATATGATGCTTCAGATAGTTTTGATCTTGAATCAAAGTTTGGGATAAATTAGCATGGGTTTCAAACCCATCCAACAGAGAATCATGGAGCTCTCTGTGTTATCAGTATGCCAGCATCAAACATACTGAGGTCCTATGTATTATGACTAATAAATAAGAAGTACAGTTGACCTTTGAACAATGAGAGCATTAGGGGCACTAACTTATACCCTCTCCCCCACCAAACTGAAAATCCACATATAGCTTTTGACTTCCCCAAAACTTAATAGCCTACTGTTGACCAGAAGCCTTTATTGATAACATAAGCAGTGGATTAACATCTATTTTGTGTGTTATATGTAATCAAGTCTATATTCTTACAATAAAGTGAGCTAGAGAAAAGAAAATTTTATTAAGAAAATCACAAGGAAGAGAAAACACATTTATAGTACTGTACTTACTGAAAAAAATCTGCATATAAGTGGATTCACACAGTTTAAACTCGTGTTGTTCAAGGGTCAGCTATATCATGGTTATTTTAGACCAAGTTTCTATCATTACATTCTTCCTCATTATGTTCCATAGACTGTGCTATTTCCACTTTAGGGGGCAATAGTCCTGCCTTTGTTGTTGTCTTTCTAGGTAGCATCTGAAGCCAGATGGACTGACGCCCAAATCAACATGTTATGAAGTTGTTCTGTAAGTTATTTTGGGGAGGGTGACTTACCATACCACTCATCAACCCATGCAAAAGCCTGTCTATGTCCAATCAGCAGAATATCTCGGACCACCTAAAAAAGCAGAAGAACCATGGTTGATTAAAACTACCTGGAAAATAGATTGTTCCCAATTCTAGGAATCCTGGCAATTACAAATTCCTCAATCTCTCTGTCCATATAATGGCAAGTACAGTTTCACATACACAGATGATGGGCTCGCTCACCCTCGGCCCTTTCATGGTGTCCTAGACTTGCTGAAATTAACCTCTTCATCTTAATTGAAAGTTGGACTGGGAGTGTACACACATGAAGGACAACTGCTTGGCCATCTCACAGCAATGACTGGAATGAATCTCTGGGCTAATCATCTTGAGATTTTTCTCTTTACTTATCTTTATCTAAATCAGGTTCAACTTTTCACTTGTGGGAAGGTGTGTCTCACTGGTGCTAGGAAGTCATGGGTGTTGGAAATTAGAAACGCTTTTCTGGGTAGCAAGTGACTTCTGTTCTTGTCTGATGAAGTATGGCACATATTGGTCAAATTATTATTATTATCTTTTGGTAATTGAAGGTATGGGATACAAGATAAGTAAATATCTTTTTGGGTGTGACTTCCATGTAGTAGAAAGGGGAAAAAAGCAGTTTGGTCAACTGGTATTGTATTTTATTTTTTATGAATGAGTTAACTTTTCCTTTGAGAAAGAACAAGAGAGTATGCGCAGGGGGAGAGGCAGTTGGAGAGGGAGAGGCAGACTCTGAGCTGAGAGGGAGCCCTATGCAGGGTTTGCTCACAGGACCCTGGGAGCATGACCTGAATTGAAGGCAGATGCTTAACTGACTGAGCCACCCAGGGGCCTCGAGTCAACTATTATTGACAAAGATGAAATAAAGAGATCTCAATTAGAATAGAACATAATGGTAATGATAAGCCTGAAGAGACAAAGGAATAAAATTGTTTCTTATGGTGATACATAATGGCCCTAGAAGACTAAGAAAGATAACTATATAGTTTGTGTGCATGTGCGTGTGTGTGTTTTATGGTATTCTTCATGTCCTCTATAAATATGTGGTTCTATGTTTCTTAGATACTCACGCACTCCCTTCAACATTCCTTTCTTCCTGCCAAACAAATCCGGCTATTGTCAAAAACCTCTCATGAAAGGTTCAGGCACGTTTCAATAAATGAAGGATTTTAATCTGGTGCATTTGCAGAAACAAGGGAAGCATTTATAATGATGTGTTTATTTCTCCATGCCTCTGGATATCTAGTGAAGCTTTTATGATTTGGAAGGAGGAAATATGTCATGAAAATAAGAAACAACATGAAACCATAACCACTTGAGTGCTGACTGTGTCAAATTCATGGAAATGAAAAGAACAGCATTGGGGCATCAGTAAAATATACCCTATTACATTAAGCACAACACAGCTGTCTGCTGGAAACAAGAATTCAATAATGTGCTAATGGCTCGCTTTCAAACATTTTCCCCCCCATAACTGTGAATAGATTCTTAAAAAACAAAGGTGTTTAGAGAAAGGCACTGGTACTTTAAAGCCATGCAAATACTCGCCTCATATACTCATTAGCGACTCATGTGCCAGAGCAGGTGTGTTTTTGGGGCGTTGATAACACTTCCTTATATTTGGAAACAGGCAATAGGAATGCCTTTTACTAGAGCATAATTCCTACAGGTATTTTAAAGAAACAGAATCTCAAAACTAGCCAAAGTCACCTGTGAGAAAAGAAACAAAGTGAGCCCTATGGCAGTGTAAATAGGCTTCGTGAAAGGAGGATATGCCAAATGAACTATGTGGTGGCTTGATAAGAGATCATCTGGGGTTAAAAAATAAGGGGCAGGGGTGAGGTGGCTGGGTGGCTCAGTCAGTTAAATGCCTGACTCTTAGTTTTGGCTCTGGTAGTGATCTTAGGGTTGTGGAATCAAGCCCCGAGTTGGGCTTCAAGCTCAGTGTGGAGTTTGCTTGAGACTCTCCCTCTTCCTCTGTCCCCCCGCCACCCCCCTTTGCTCTCTCTCTCTCACATCCTCTCTAAAATAAATAAATAAAGTATTAAATAAGGGGGGTAGATGCTACAGGAAGTCAAGGAAGATACAGTCTAAGACAGAGCTGAAGATGGAAGATATTTACTCTGGAAGTGTGTTCCTGCTTAATAAATTGGGACACAACAGGGGTTAAGGTGGTCCCTCAAAACTTGACTTCTCTGTGTCTCACTCAGCTTCCATTTCTGGTTGAGTAGAATGGGCTCTGGAGTGCAGCAGCAGATTGATATACTCCTCTTTTTTTTTTTTTTAAAGATTTTATTTATTTATTCATGAGACAGAGAGAGAGAGAGAGAGAGAAAGGCAGAGACACAGGCAGAGGGAGAAGCAGGCTCCATGCAGGGAGCCTGACATGGGACTCGATCCAGGGACCTCAGGATCAGGTCCTGGGCTGAGGGTGGCGCTAAACCGCTGAGCTACCCGGGCTGCCCTGATATACTTCTCTGTTTAAGAAAACATCAAAGCTCTCAAATCTGTTCTAGGGTTTGCGATTATCACAAGCCCAAGTTCATTCTATTCCTTGGACCTCAAAAATTTATACATTTTGTTGACAACTGGCCTCCAATCTCAGTAGACAAATCCATCTAAGTAACACAAAGCTCAGTGCATTACTGTTAAATTCCAGTGCCCCTGGAAGAATTTCAGAAAGCTATTTTTTATCAGTTTTTAAGTGGAAAAATAAACAGATATCCAGCCTATCTGGAATGTAGAGACAACTTGGGTAGTATTTATTTTTATGAAAATAGGAGGCGTTACAAAGGGTAACGTTTGACATTGCATTTTCCATTTGTTTCCATGAGGATGAGTCATGCTAGAAGCCCCTAACAAACTTAAATCATCACTAAGTCTTGTTCCTGCTATAAAATGAACATGCTTAGTTAAAGTGGGTATACAATTGAAATCTGTGTTTAGAGGTTGTTAATAATTCTTTAGTAACAGAATTATTAAATGACCAGAAATACTGAGGTGCACCATCTAAAGGACCATTGGGATTTGTTGTTTTGTCTCTTGGGGCATTTTCTTTCTATCTTAGGTGCATTTGTAGGATCTTGTTTTGTTTTGTTTTTGACAGAGAGAGAGAGAGAGAGAGAGAGAGAGAGAGAGATTGGGAGCATATCAATGGGGAGGTAGGGGCAGAGAAAGAGAGAGAATGAGAACCTTAAGCAGACTTCATGCTCAGCACGGAGCCTGATGTGGGGCTTGATCTCACAACCCTGAGATCATCCACCAAATCAGGAGTCAAATGCTAAACTGACTGAGCCACATAGGCGCCTATATCCTATATTTGCAGGATCTTTTGAGTGAGAATTATCTTGGGGGGCCACACACACATATAAGCCCTTGATGCCTCTGCCTGGAACCCAAGTACTGAGTACCAAGTACAAGTACTTCTGTCTGCAGCTAGGTTAGCCTGATGCCAGAGGAAGAAGTACTTAGTATTGAAAACCTAACTTCCTGAATATACTCATCCAATAGACGTGGAAGTCACAGAATGAGAAATGAAGTGAAAAAAAAAAAAAAAAGAAAGAAATGAAGTGCAAAGCATCAAATTAAACTTGTATATAAAATGTATTTTCATAAAAACGGTGTTTTCTAGATGCAGTTATGTCATGTTGGCTCAGTGCTAGGCATGTGTTGTGCATCGTGCATTCAAGCTTCCAGTAAAGATAGTCACTCTATCCGCAGTCCAGGAACTGCCATTTATTCACTTACCTTGTGTACAAATTGTTCCACTCTGGTCTGAAGCCCCCAGACCTCGAACTTCACAGTCACCAGCTTATAGGAACACATGATGGGTTGATGACTATCTCTCCAGCCTTCCCTTAATTGTCCCCTTCCTGTCTTCTCTGACTTGAAGTGCTTAGGATCCTGAAAAAAATAAAAAGAAATAGTAACTTAAAAGTTTAACCATTGGGCAGCCCCGGTGGCTCAGTGGTTTAGCGCCACCTTCAGCCTGGGGTGTGATCCTGGAGATCTGGGATCGAGTCCTGCTGTTGGGCTGCCTGCATGGAGCCTGCTTCTCCCTCTGCCTGTGTCTCTGCCTCTCTCTCTGTGTGTCTCTCATGAAAAAATAAAATCTTAAAAAAAAAATTTAACCATCATTTATAGGAAATGTCTAGAATAGGCAAACCATCAAGACAGCAAGATTAGTGGTTGCCAGGGGTTGGAGTGACTACTAATGGATAAAAGAGTTCCTGTTGGGGTGATGAAAATATTCTGGAATTAGTGATGGGAGTTGCATAACTTTTGTGAATATACTAAGAACCCCTGAATCGTACACTTAATAAAAAGGGTTAAATTATATACATCTCAGTCAGAAAGGGACTTGCAACAAAAATAAACGCTAAAACTATAGTTCGCCTTCTAGGCAAGTGTCAGTTCTTCCTGAAGTTCCTTTTCTCCAGCCAACCTCTCCACTATACCTGACTCTTCTCTTCTTTTTTTTTTTTTTTAAGACTTCTTAAGACTTTAAGACTCAAGCATCTCTTCCCACTCCCAAGACTGTCCTGTGTAGTTCAGAATGAATGCTCCTCCTTTATGCTTCCAAAGCCTCTTGATGCCATGAACCTGGCAGGTGGGCAGGACTCTCATCATTTTGGTGGCTTGTCCATCTCCACAAGACCACAATCATCTTGACTTCAGTGGATCCTGAATGGCTATGATCCCGGTACATAACAGATGCTGAATAAATGTTTTTTTTTTTTTTAATTTTTATTTATTTATGATAGTCACACAGAGAGAGAGAGGCAGAGACACAGGCAGAGAGAGAAGCAGGCTCCATGCACCAGGAGCCCGACGTGGGATTCGATCCCGGGTCTCCAGGATCGCGTCCTGGGTCAAAGGCAGGCGCCAAGCCGCTGCGCCACCCAGGGATCCCTGAATAAATGTTTTTGATTGAATGCCTGAACTGTACTTGGACCCATCTCGTTCTTTCTCTCTCTCTCTCTCTCTCTCTCTCACACACACACACACACGGCTGGGGATCGGAATTTAGCTACATTTGGGTAAATCCTTAAGTGAAAGACAGACTAAAAAATGCTATGTGCATCATTACAACTGTTGGCATGGATGTGAAAAAATTAGAACCCTTACATGTTGCTGATGGGAATGTAAGATAGTGTGGCCACTTTGAAAAACAATTGGGTAGTCCCTCCAAAGGTTAAACACAGAGTGACCATCTGGCCCAGTAATACCACTCCAAGATATCTACCCAAGAGAACTGAAACCTGTCTGAGGAAACTTACACGTAAATGTTCAAATTCGTAATAGTAAAAAAATAGAAACAACCCAAATGTCCATCAACTGATGAACGGATACACAAAATGTGGTCCATCCACACAATAGAAGATTATCCAGCCATTAAAAGGAATGAAGTATTGATCCATGCTCTAGCACAGATGAACTTCAAAAACGCTATACTGAATGAAAGAAGCCAGTCACCAAAGGCCACATTCTATAATTCCATTTATATGAAATACCCACAGTAGACAAATCTATGAAGAAAAAAGCAGAGTAGTGGCCAAAGGCTGCAGAATGGGGTGATAAGGGGAATGACTGCTATGGAAACAGTTTCTTTTGTGGGTGATGAAAATGCTCTAAAATTAGATTTAAGGTGATGGCTTACAACTCTGTAAGGAAGCTAAAAACCATTTAACAGTACAGCTTAAGTGGGTGAACTTTGGGTTATGTAAATTATATACAATAAAGCTATGAAAAATATACAAATCCAATATAAAAACACACTGTGCAATACCTTGGTAGGATTTTTCAGGGTGTGTACTAGCTCTGAGCTTGCCCATACTCCTGCATAAGGTAATATTATAATAGTCATTATCCTCAGCACACGTTTACTGAATGCACAATGTGAGCACAGTAGAGAACCAGGTATTACATTATGCTCTCCCTTGACCTGGTTTCTTCGCCCTGAGGGGTGTAGGAGGGCAGCAGCTGTGTGTGTGTGGCCTGGAAGGTGTGGTCTGTGTGTAGTCACAGAGCACTTCCCCTCACTGGGAATGGACTCAGCTCGACTTGGGATGATTTCCGTTCCCTGACCTTCTCCCAGGGTCCCTCATTTGCATTGGTTGCACTAGAAAACACTGGACCTGGGGGTAGAAGGGACTGGAATGGGACAAATATATAATTAACAGAATGTGAAACTGACAGAAGAGATTCTGACAGAGAAGAAGGAAAAGGGCACGCATCAAAAGAATCCCATGGGAGTAAGTGCTCTGTGACGGGAGGGGCTGGCAATTTGAGTATGGGTAGCCTTTTCGAATTTTGGTACCAATGTTGTCATGCTGTATTTTTAGCACCTGAACCAACCCAGAAACTGCCACTGAAATTATATGCACAGGCCTGGAAAGATGATGTTAATTTAATAACATGATACATGAAAAAGTCACAAGCACAGGGTCTGGCTCATAGCAAGTGCTCAATTGATGTTAGCTATTACTGTACTTCCTAAGGCAGTCACAGAAGCATCTGAGTAACATGTGCAATCTTGCAGCCGAGGGCAGAAACACTAATGCCTTTCCAAAGCACCCTGGAGTTGCTGGTGAAAGATTTGATGGTTTAAGGCCGTGGGACTAATTCCTGCCTACCCCATATTCCTATACCCTATAATGCCATTAAGAATAAAAAGAGAAAAAAAAAAGGAAAAAAAAAAGAATAAAAAGAGAAGACCAAGAAATCAAGAGGTATCACTAGGGAGATGACGGTAGAAAATCTCCAAAGACGGCCTCCATCAGTTCCTTCCATTTCCGTGCCAGTACGCTGTTCCTCTCACCAAGAGATGGAGGCTGTCTCCCCTCACTTCAAACTGAGCATGACCTAGGACTCGCTTTGACCAATTGCAAATGGCAGAAAAGACACTGTGTCAGTTCAGGTCTCCAAGGGAAGCTAGAAACTAGAAGTGGGACACAATGTAAAAAGCCTGGTCTGATTGCTCTGAGACTACCATGTTGGGAGGAAGCGCAAGCTAACCTTGGGGAGAGGTGCTTGCCCATTTCCAGCTGAGAAGGCAGGCAGGTGACTGAACAGGTCAAATCTGATATTTCAGCCCAAACATACACTATGAGGAACAGAAGATCTGCCCAGCTAAGCCTAGTCAAAATCACAGAATTGTGATCAGTAATGCACTGTTGTTGTTTTAAGCTAAATTCTAGAGTGGATGGTTGGTTAGCAAGAGATAACAAAATAGATGTGTCACGTGGATTACAAAACAGGTGCAATAACTGGGTTCACCATCGATGAAAAGGATGAATGCTGCTTTGTTCTTTTGCAGAACACATCAAAAGTTCATACAATAAACCACATGCTTGAAAGCCACAAAGAAGGAAATTTACAGCTGCCAAGTAATTCACGGGAGTTAGAATATAGGGGCTGGAGTGAAACAGCGAGGGCTGGTTTCTTTCCCCATCCCCCTACTGACTTTCCAACAAAAGGTAAATGAGCAGTATAATCGTCAGCACATGGACAGTAACTATCTTGAGGCTCAAAAGACATGGCCTCCATGCTTTGGCTGACCAGAATATGTATAGGCAAACCCTTGAGAACCTGAGAGGAGGTTGTCTTTCTTGAGTGAGCAAGGAGTTAAACAAAGGACATTCCAGAACCAGCAGGCAGAGGAAAGCAGGAGGGCAAAACCCCCAGTAACCCAAATGTGTAAGAGATAAAGGAGGCAGTAAACAGAGCAAGGGGCCAGGCACAGGATGTGGGGAAAGGAAGTAAAAGCCATGGCTGTGGCCTGAGCTGCCTTCATGCCTCTTGGGCCCTGTGCAAGGGGTGTGAGAGAGGCCACAGGGCCATCTGGCTGCACCCCATCCTGATTCACAGACTAGCCACAGCTTGTTTCTTGGACTGACCACTACTGAGTTTGAAATGGTACCGATTCCAGAATATTCGTATACATTCCAGGTTCAAGCTTCCCGAGAAGTAAGGCAAAACTCTGCAATATTAAACATGGAACACTGGTGGGTCTCATTTCCAAAACAGTTAAGAATGACGGGGCCTCACAGCAAACATCAGCTTTGAGTAAGACCATAAAGGTAATGTCTGCACGGCAAACTATGTAGAGGCTAAAATCTATGTGTGGTTCCTGATCACACTGCAGAAGCACCAGGTAACAGGGAGGGGACTAGAATTCCAGGCTCCCCTAATTCTAGGCCAATGTTCTTTCTACTGTATTTACTTTTATTTTTTTATTTTTTAAAGATTTTATTTATTTATTCATGAGAGACACACACACACAGAGAGAGGCAGAGACAGAGGCAGAGGGAGAAGCAGGCTCCATGCAGGGAACCCAACGCAGGACTCGATCCCGGGTCTCCAGGAGCACACCCTGGGCCTCAGCGCTAAACTGCTGAGCCACCTGGGCTGCCCCTCTACTGTATTTACTTTTAATATTAAACAGCAAAGGGTGTTTTTGTTATACCCAGATGCCAAAGAAGCAATTAACAATTGGGCTTTTTATGGCAACAGTGGGTTGATTTTCTGCAAGTCTGATGTCCTATCTACAGCTGCTGATTTCATCTAGTAAATCTTATACATAGCCTATAATTAGGGATACACTTTCAAAGAGAGGGAGTGAGGTAAGGGAGAGGATTTACCAGAGGACTCCTTTAATCAAAAGTCAAGACCACAAATGAACATCCAGCTGAATGCCTTTATGGGAAGATGAAAAAAAAAAAAATCAAGCCAATGGTTCTTATCTGAAATATTCTGGTCACTACAAACCTTTCACCCTGGTCATATTCGAACACCCTCCCTCCCCATATCCAGTATCCATTCCACTTGAAATCATTTTCTTCAACACTCATTTTTCTCACTTGAGTTTGTGAACATAAATATCTAAATTGCCCCGTTCACAC